AATTAATTAAAGCCATTAAAGGAACTCAATAGGTATAGAACTTTTATTTTTTTATTATTATTACATTAAGGTACCCCTAGCTTACGCTACGGTATAGAATTAAGAGACTTTCTCTACTATAAACTTAATTTAAATAGTTAAAAATAGTCAACTTATTACTCTACCTTGCTGGAGGTTATGGTTTTTAATAATTAATTAGCCAATCACTAATAARTTATAATAATATTTTTATAGATTGTCAATTATATACCTTGTAGGTAGTTCCCTATTAGCCAAAATAGACGAAATGGGGTCCAGAAATGGAAACTTTTTCTGTTTATTTCTCATAGTAACAACCGTAATATCGAATATCTTAGGTTTTGTCAGAATCCGCTCGGTGAAACTGTAATTTTTATGTGACAGATTGTAACCATTTTTCGGTGTTGTCTGATTTGGCGAATTGTCAGTCACGTTCTCTGTAGAGTGTTTCGGAGTTGTTGTCGGTCCGTTTTTCTGAATCGTAATGGGAGTTGTACTTGGTGATTGTGTCCTAATATACAAATATGATCATTGATCACGTGTTATATACTTAAATCCATTAACATAACAATATATTATATGTCTTTACAAAAATTCACTGAAAAAAAAAATAAAAGACAAAATTCAAATGTAARAAGGTCCCTCCCTCTAATATATTTACATCATCCTCTAATATATTGTGTTATATATAATATATAGGGTCAARAAAAATGTTTACTTCATTAATGCAAAAAAGACTATAGAACACATTTTATAATACATCATTATAAATTATAATAATACTTCTGTTTCATCCTCAATCCATTACCAACATCACACATTTCATCACAGCCGCCAATCTGCTAACCAAAATTTAATATAATTTAGATATAGATACAATTCATGTAATTTTTTTCTTTTTATATACATATACGAGTATGTCTCACTATAAACCCAATGGCCCATGTTTCCGAGGGTATCATTAATAAAAAAATAAAAATAATTCTGTTTCCCAAATTTGACTATCCTCGATATTCATAAAGATGTTGTACATTTATTTAAGAACTATTGAGATGTTGGAATTATGTATTTAACCTGCCAAACAATTTTAATTTTTGTATTGAAATGAGCATAATTTTATGATACGTAATMATAAATGTTGATAAATTCAAAATGTTTATAAGTTACTAATAAAATTTACAGATTTAATACAGAAGTGTTGGAGAAATTGTATTCAAATTTAAAATTAGATTAAATCGTAACCATTGGGTTAGATTCATCGAGTGAAAAATAAAATAACATCATCGTGAATATAAACTTAAATCTTTCCATATTATTGAATTAACTTAATGAGTCAAAAATATGAATTAACTTTCCTAGCCTCGCATGCAAAAAGTTGTGGATTGCAATAATTATAAATTTGAGAAAAATTTAATATTTTGTTACCTATTTATAAATTAATAAAAAAATAATAAGTTACAATAAATTGTATTATTATTTGTGATCGATATTATATACCTCGTAGACGATTCCCCAAGTTTTGTCTGATTGTAGTCGTTCGTCGAAGTCGGCTCAGTGGAACTACTGTATTCCTTGTTAGTCGATTTTGGCGAATTGACGATAACGTTCTCCGTGGTTTTACCGTCGGCATCGTCAGCTACCATAGTGTAGTTCAAATCCGTGCCAGACGGCGTACTTGAAATCGTTGTCGTATCGTACACCCCATTCGCGTTAGTAGTTGTTGTTATTTCGTTTGTCCTATAATATGCAAATATTTTATGCACAATCAGTTTTCGACAAAATCGATTTTGTTTTTTGAATGTTTATATAAGTATATTCTATCCACCATGCAATTTTCAAACATTTTGACTTAAGTTGAACTATTCATAGATATTTGCAATTTTCGGTCATGTGGATCATTATTTGTTTTTTGAAAATTTATTTTGATAACAATTTATTTGTTAGGCAGAAAAGCCTAATACAAGTCTCCTAACATATTTTTACAAAAATTAATTTTTTTT